TTTTATTTTATTTTATTTTATTTTATTTTATTTTATTTTATTTTATTTTATTTGAGAGAGAGTGAGCGAACATATGAGCAGGGGAGAGGGGTAGAGGGAGAGAGAGAGAATCTTAAACAGGCTCCATGTTCAGTGTGGAGCCCAATCTCACAATGGTGAGATCACGACCTGAGCCAAGGTCAAGAGTCAGATGCTTAACTGACTGAGCCACCCAGGTGCCTGGATTGTATTCTTTTAAAAACTAATCACAAAGTTTCTCCCATGCCAGGTGTCTTGTGGGGGTGTTGTTTGCAAGGGTCTTTTTCTCCTGTGATCAGTGCAAAAGTTTAGGGGTCCGGCAGACCGGGGCTTACATCCTGGTTTTACTTCTCCCTGACCAGCTCTGTGACGCTGGATGACAGATCATTGGCCTTTCAATTTCTTCATCTGTAAAAATGAGGGTTCACGCGAAAACTAGCTACCTTTGTTGTTATTGTGCCAACCAGTGTTCTTTTGGTTTTAAATATTAGACAGCCCCAAATGATAGGGGGGTTGCATCTCCCTAGGCAAGAAGGCTTGCGGTAGGACAAGTGTACGATGGGTTGATTTAGTAGCACGAGGATCCCGGTGTTTGCCCCTTTCTCCTCATCAGCCATCCTCAGCAGGTAGGCGATTTCTCCCCTCCTTGTCACACCGAGGCTGTAGCAGCTCCAGGCATCACGGGCAGATCCAATGAAGTGCGGCAAACTAGGATGGCGTTTTCTTCCATGTGATTCCTTCTTCTTAGTGAGCAAGCTTTTCCCTCGGAAGCCCCCCTAATGGACTTCTCTTGTGTCCCTTTGTCTCATGTTTTAGTCTGGGCTTTTTAGGTCCCCCGGGTCCTGAGGAAAGGATTGAAGTGTTGACGCTTTATTTAGGAAGTCAGGCCCAGTGAGGTCAAGATGAAGGAAAAGAAGGGGGAGTGAGGCCAGGGAAGATGGAAGCCGTGTGATTGTTTCATGCTGAGCCGCGAAGAGACACGGCTGGTGTGTTTGTGTGGCACATTGAGGGGGGCTGCCGGGAGAAACTGTACCCCGATTTGTCAGGAACACTCTTCACTTCGCTTGCTGGAGTTTTTGGAGGGTAGAAGGAAGAAAGGTTTTGACATTGATAGCTTTTGAAATTGATATTTAAACCTTCCCTAAGTCCTGGTATATTTCTCACCAGTTGCTTTACATCGGGAGGCAGGGTGGCCGGTGGTTAAGGACATGGCCCATGAGTCAGACTGCCTGGGTTCAAATCCAGACGCTGCAGCTCACTGGCCCACGAGGGACCTGCTCCTACATTTAGGGTTATTGGGAGGATTGAGTGAGTTAATGTCTGAAAGCACTTGAACAGTGCCTGACAAGTCAGGCTCTGTGCATATTGATGGTGACCCTTGCCCTTTCACCTCTAGAACTCAGAGCTGTTTGTCCCATGTAATGATCATCAGCCAGTCAACGTTTACTGAGTCTAGGGCTGTATAGGACACAGATCGAAAGGCACAGACACTCTTTGCCTTCTGTGTACGCCCTCCTCTGACTTCCTTCTGCGAATGGTACCTACCTTAGGGGCACCTTCCATCTGTCCTGTCATTTGATTCAACGGTCTCTCTCAGCTGTGAGCCCTGCAGGGCACAGAGGCTGTCTGTCTGTCTGTCTGTCTGTCTGTCTGTCTGTCTTAGCTCTGGGGCTTTACACTGCACTTGGCAGCTGCAGGCGCTTGAGAATTGCTTAGTCAATGACCTGTCAGTACTTTCTACTCTACCTTGAAGGACTTATTTACAGACATGTCTTATTCCCCTTGCTTTCCTAAAAGCAGTTAGAGACCAGGCCCCGATCGTCGATGTTTGTAGGCGCTGTTTGGGTGGATGGTTGACTGCATGAATCCCAGTTCAGGATACAACACGTAGAGGCATATATGAAGATATGAAGAGATAATAACACTGCAGAGGGCAGGGACAGGCCATTTTAGGGTCTTGAGGTCAGGTAGTTTATGTTTTCCAACTGCTGGGTGGAAAAAAAGAAAAAAAAAAGAAAAGAAAAAGCTTGCTGCCTGTGCTGACTTGCTTAGCAACCTGCTCCTCGTCTTTCTGTATCCTGCAGTCCATCCAGGGACTAGTGGATTGATGCCTGGCATGGATGGTCGGCAGGGGCTGGAGGCAGGAAGATGAGCTGAAAGAGTGTAGGCCTGAGACGAAGAGGGGCTTGAGGGGGTAGGGTGGGGGTGGAAATGGAAAGCATGGGGGGGGGGGGGGGGGGGGGGGGGGGGGTAGGAAAGGAGAAGCAACAGGTGTGGGCCCTGAATTTCGTGGGGTGTGAAGAATGAGGAGGAAGACTCTGCTTCCTTTGGGGACTGGTGCCTGGGCCCCTGGAAGATAGGGTGGTGAGCAGATCTTTTTTTTCCATCTGCCTAACCTGTGAGATGAAAGTGAATGTTGTCTTTGCCTTCTCCATTTGGTAAGCCCGAAGGATATTTCCTTTGGGTTGGGTTGAGTGCTTAGGCTCCTGGCCGTGTCCCGCCTTGGCCTTGCTGTAGGACCTTGGGCAAGTGTTTTTCCACCTGTAGGCCTTAGGGGATTACTTCCTTTCCAAAAACAAGAGGCTCATTCTTTCCTTTAGTGTCATTTACTTTGTGCCTACTGTATGCACCATTCTAGGCAAGGGCACAGATGAGGTTTCTGTTCTCATGGAGCATACATTTTCGTTGGAGGAGGCTGAAGATAATTGAGGTAAATTGCCAAGGAGGAAACATACTAGTGATGTGATGGAGAGTGAGAGGTGCTAATTTCTGCTGGTTGGTTGGAGAAGGACTGCCTGATGAGGTGGCATTTTAGGCCATGACACAGGAAGGTCTGGGGCAGAGTATTTTTGGAGAAAGGAATCAATGTGTAAAGGCTGTAAGAGAGAAACAGCCTCAGGAACAATGAGAAGGGCGTGATGAGATCATGGGGGGATATGTAGACTGTGGTTAAGACTTGGGGTTTTATTTAAGTGTGATGGGAAATTGGAGGACATTTTTTCCACTAGAATCCCTTTTGATTATTTTCCTCTTTACGAGGGCCATACTTTTAAAAATCCTGTTAACCAAAAAAGTGTGCTTACTAAACAATAGATGTACAACTTCAAATTATTTTAGGTTTTTAAAGTATGGGGAAATAATTTATGGATCATGATGCGTATCTTTGAGGATCCTCCGGGGATCTAAAGGTGGCAGATTGAGACACTCAACTGAATAATCTTGAAGGTTCCTCTGTTTCAAACATTCATGCTTTCCAAAGCTGCATGCCATGTAATTAAAAAAAAAAAAAAAAAAAATTACGCCACCTACCGACAGAAGGAAGAAGGTGGATTTTTGCACAAGGAAAATCCCAAACCCAGTAGATTTCTTCGGTTGTGCACCTGGCTTTACATTCTGTACGTGCGACCTGAAAATGGCTGGGGGGAAGGGGTGTTATGGTCCTGCTTTCCTTTTTGCTTCCCTAGAGAATCTTGATTGTGTGTCTGTGTCCCTGTGCATCAATTCATGATGCAGTGGCAGGGGAGAGGGATGACCTGGGAGCTGCCCCAGTATTGGATGTATGTGTGGGGAAGAGCACTGGATGGCTCAGCCTCCATATAACTGAGTTAATCCATTGTTTGTAACTGACCTCTGGTTTCACTGAGTTCCCTTATTCAGTGTCCCCACACCCTAGTCCCTGCCAGTAGGCCTTTTTTAATGTAGTCGTTAACACCCCATCCCTATCATTAAATTCTCAACTGCTTTATTCCTGATTTGCATTTTCCGTGGCTGAATGAATGCACTGACTTCCGTTTTTTTTTTTTTTTTTCTGTTACAGATGGTGTGCGCAGGTGACGGTAAGTAGCACTTCCCTGTCTTCTCTTGTGTTGTTCGTTATCGCCCCCTGCTGGACACAGCATCATTAACAGCAACGTGAAAATCACAGAAAATGCAAATTTGTTCAAACTCTTAGTTTCCAGTTTTATTTTAGGAGTGGGGTGAGTGTGGAAACAGCACGGGAAAGAAAGAATTCAGTCATTTGCGCAACTTTGACAAAAAAGTACATATTTTTGGGGGCTGATATATTGCTCCATGATTTTTAAAAGTGATATAGAGGGTGTACGTAACCTTTGGAAAACCAGACGTAGCCTCCTATAGATTTTGCTTCCATGTGGAGGACTGAGTTCCAGTTGTTAACTAGTGTTGGCCCATTGAAGTTCTCCCTAGTCTAGAGTAGAATGAGAAAACTAAGACTATGATAGTAGGATTTAAGTGATGCTAAACATATTTAGTTGAAAGCACCATATATTCTGGGATTATGTCCTTACTACTTTTTTGGGTCATTATTTGTTTCTATAAGAAATAAATGGAATTGTACTTGGTAGTTAAAAAAAAATGTACCTTTTAGCATAAATAAAAATTGGTAGCTCTTGTCTGTCCTCAAAATTTGGGGACTTTTTTTTTTTTTCCTGATTGGTAAGATCCCAAAGTTTGTGAACCATAGAGATAAAATAATTAGAGTGTTCTTCCAGGGCCACGCCAAGGGGGCAGATCTTGCTGAAACCTTGTAATAAAGGCACTCTCAGTTAATAACAGTGATTCTGCAAGGTCTGTACAAGCAATGAGAAGAGCTCCGCAGTTGCTTTTTCTTGCTTGTGAATCAGTTTGGTAAATAAACTGGTAGGTACCTTGTGTAGCCTTGAATCATCGGTGCCAAAGAAGAAAACTTATGTGCATGGAGAAAAGGGGGCAAAGGGGAGATGAGAGAACTGTGATTCGTTTTAAAAATCATAATGAAAACCTGTTGTACAGCAAGTATATAGTGGGAGGTGCCATTTTATTAGTTTGGGTGACCGCCGAATCTGACTGCTCAAATCAGTCACAGTTTATCACTGAAAAGTTTCCTGGTGTCTTACTGAGATGGATTTCAGTGGCTGCAGATGTGACTGATACCAGATCACAGCTGAAGCCTAGAACATTGGAAAGAAAAATGAAATGCAAACTAAAAAGTCTGTGAACCATTGCTCTAAAATGATTAGAATGTTCTCCCAGGGCTTTGAGTAAAATCACATGCTAATGACCAACAGGATGGGATTCTGAACTCAGATTTTTTGCAATGTCCAAATCCAGTGACTTTGGTTACCATATTATAAAAATAATCCTTTATGTTAAAAATAGTTTATTAGAGCTGCCAATAGAGGAGCTCCAGAATGGGAGGCTTTAAGGGACTGATTCTAGGTCACAGAGGTAAGGGACAGAGTGGGCCCGTATGTCTAGTTCTGAATTCGAAGACCAGCTCTTTTCTCCTTATGTTATTCTGTCTCATGTCATCTTTGTGCCCCAAAATGGCGGAGCTTCCTCCTAGTATCAGGGTTTGGCAAGAAAGTTATCTTCTGCACCATGTAAAACCTCTCCACACACAGTGTTTTCTAAGAATGGCGAGAGACTCATTTAGCATCTTAACGTCTTTTTTTGTATCAGCTC